AAGAAAAAGAAATTATCAAAGCCTGAAAGGGAGTCTTAGAAATTAAGAAAATTATGTATAATCCCTAATACAGCTATTTTCATTTTTTCCATTGTTTTTTGGTTTTGTCCCTATGTCCAATATGTGCGTATTTTACAAGGGTATAATGACAGCATATATTAGCTGTTCTCAGCTGCGATGTTGTCACACTGGTATGTCCTGATGAGCTACAAGATGTTCCAACTAAATTTGTTATTAATCGTATTTAAAATACCTGGTTTGGGGCTTCCCTGGTGGCGCAGTGGTTGAGAGTCCGCCTGCCGATGCAGGGGACACGGGTTCGTGCCCCGGTCCGGGAAGATCCCACATGCCGCGGAGCGGCTGGGCGCGTGAGCCATGGCCTCTGAACCTGCGCGTCTAGAGCCTGTGCTCCGCGGCGGGAGAGGCCACAACAGTGAGAGGCCCGCGTACCACAAGAAACAAAAACCTGGTTTGCCAAGGTTTACCTCTTTTAATATAGCACAGCATATTCCAAGATGAGAACCATAATAATGTCAACTTGAGTCTCTTGCATTCTGGGATGGTTTCTTATGTGTGGAAGCTAGCACACAGAATTCCACACCACCCTTGGCATCTCCTTAGGAAAATGTCAGGCGCTGAGAACCAGTGATGTAAATACTCAGTTGTATCTTGGAAAATATTATATCTTAAAACTGTGTCACATGTGTTGCCACATGGCCTTCATAATTGACATTTTCCTTAAATCAAAGTAAAATATACAAAAGCTAATAAATCATATAAGTAAATCTCCTTGAAATCCCCTCCCCCCGCTTTCTGCCAGTACAAATTCCTAAAGGCACCTTCCTTCCTTCCTTTTTTAATTTTTCTTCCTTCCTTCCTCTCTTTGTCCTTCTTTCCTGTCTTCCTTTAGTGGGTAGATAATATACTCACATGGGTCAAAAATCAAAAAGTAGTAAACACGATATACAACAAAAAGTCTCCTTCCTGCCCTGCCCCCAGTCACCTAGCTTCCCTCCTCAAATGCAACTGGTTTTATCAGTTTTTTAGCTCTCCATCAGTATCAATGAGCATATATGGGTATGTGTATATCCACACACTTAGAGAGTATTTAAACCCTGCAAAAAAAGATAGCAAATTATTTGCACTGTTTTACACCGTGTCTTTCACTTTTCAATATACAGGCTATCATCCGATATTAACACATAAAGAGCTTCCAAATTCTTTTTAAAGTTGAAAATATTATAAATATTGGTGTATTGAATTAGACCCACATGGGTGAAGCTTTAGGTAGTTTTCCAATCTTTTGTTAATGACAAACAACGCTGGAATAACCTCACAGCACATCATGTAGGTAAACATGTTTATAGTATAAATTCTTAAAAAGGGAATTGCTAGGTCAAAAGGTGTGTGCATTTTTAAAACAGAGAGATATTGCTAAACTGCCCTGCTTAGAGGTTGTACTGATTTACACTCCCACCACTTACATAAGACAATGATTTTCCATGGATTCCTGCCAACTACCTGAGTCATAACCCTTTTTGATCTCTGCCAACTTGATAGATGAAAACATATCATAATGTAATTTTAGCTCACAGTTTTCGTAAGTGTATACAAGCAGGTTTGTGTTTTACAGCAATCTATTTGTCCATTTCTGTGAATGTTCTGTTCATATCATTTGCCTGCTTTTCCACTGGGCTTCTGTTCTTTTACTTTATTGATGTTTTAGCTCTTTCTACACTAGGATAACTACCTTTCTGACTGTGAAATGAACCCAAATATTTTTCCCAGTTATTTTTTGACTTGCTGGATTTTGCCAAACAGATTTTTTAAAAATTTTATGTAATTGAATATATAAATCTTTTCTTCTAAGGCTGCTGCATTTGGTACTAGTTAGCAAAGCTGTTTCTACTCCCAGAATTTTTTTTAAAGGTTTTTTCCCTTAAGTTCCTCAGGTACTTTATTGGTTTCTTTCTCTAACATTAAATATTTGATCCATCTAGAGATGTTCCTTGTGTAAGGTGTGAGGTATGGGCCCGGTTACATTTTCTTTAAAATTACCAGTTGTTCCCTACCATTTAATAATCCATCTTTTACTGATTTTAAAAAGCAACTTATTTAAAGCATTTCTGGTTTCAAATATGTAACTGGAAATTACATGATTAAAGCTGTAGCGGTGTTTTGAATGCAGGCTACTTCACTGACTTGTGTGTGAAAGCTGGGATTTAGTTTCCATACGCTACCCTTTCTCTCCCTCCTCCAAAGCTTGATAAGTACATCATGTTTAGTTCCTCTGTTACTAAGTACTATTAGTTACTTTAGCTACCTTAAATCATTGACTCACACCACTATTTCTAGTTCCAACTAATCAGTACCAAGACACTCCTTTCAGCAAAGTGCAGATCATTCTGCACAGAAGTGTACATATTTTTTGTTGTTGTTTACACTCCATATTACCCACAACAGGGCCCAATCTAATTCATAATAGTCATAATAATAATGGTGCATGAGGCAGGATACAGAGACTCAGATCAATGTTTACCATTCTATGACTCTTAAAATAAATATCCACGAGTCCACAGTGATATAAATAAATCATCAAATGAATGAACGAGTGAATGGGACAATTCTCCTTTCGGAAGAATTCTAATTAATAAATGTAGAAGAAATGAGGGAAATAGAAAATCTCGATTAGAACACCACAGTAATCATTGCTGCAGGCAAGTTCTACTGATAAATGATAAAGCTGGTAGGTGAAACTTTAAGGAGGAACAAGACTTATGCAAGCCTCAAAGTATCTCCCCCCAAAATATGTCTTAATTACTGCGATGGTTTTAACATATGTCCACAAATTCTTTGATGTTCTTCCCTCCAGAAGGTGGGTTTAATCTACCCAACCCCTAACCCCACCCCCCAGAGTGGGCTGCACTTAGTGACTTCCTTCCAAAGAATACAACATGGAAAGGAGGGAAATACTGATCAACAGTGACCAAGTGATCAAAGTTAACATCACTGACAATGAATCATGTTTATGTTGGAAACCCCCTGACTCAAGTGCAGAAGAGCACTTCACCTCTGTGGTATACTTCCCCCAAATCCATAACCCCAGCCTTGGCATGAGAAAACACCAAACCCAAATTGAGGGACACTCTACAAAATACTTGCCCAATACTTTTCAAAAGTGCCAAGATCACGAAACACAAGAAAAAGTCAAAACACTTTCATAGATAAGAGGACTGGTGGCACAGTGGTTAAGAATCCACCTGCCAGCGCAGGGACATGGGTTAGATCACTGGTCCGGGAAGATCCCGCATGCTGAGGAGCAACTAAGCCCATGCGCCACAGCTACTGAGCCTGCGTGCCGTAACTACTGAAGCCCGTGAGCCACAACTACTGAAGCCCATGAGCCACAACTACTGAAGCCCACACCCCTAAGAGCCCATGGTCCTCAACAAGAGAAGCCACCGCAATGAGAAGCCCACACACCGCAAGGAAGAGTAGACCCCTCTTGCTGCAACTAGACAAAGCCCGTGTGCAGCAACGAAGACCCAAAGCAGCCAAAAATAAATAAATAAATAAAAACGTGAAAAAAAAAAAAAAAGAGGAGACTAAAGAGACATGACATCTAAATGCTGTGGGGTACCCTGAACTGGTTCCTGGAGCAGAAAAAGTCATTAGTGGAAAGACGGGTGCAGTATGAAGCCTGTAATCTAGTTAATTTTTAAGTGTTAATTTCTCAGTTTTGATGTTATACCATGGTTATGTAAAATGTTCACATTAGGGGAAGCTGGTTGAAGGATATGCAGAAACTCTTTGTACTACCTTTACAACTCTTCTGTAAGTCTAAAATTATTTCCAAATATAAAGGTATTTTCAAAATAAAATCTTATTACCGGGCTAAATTAGCTCTTGGATACTTTTAAATTAATATCAGTATTACTGGAGGAAAACAAAGTATAATTTTTTTAGTTTCAGTGATCATCAAGAAATTAGTTTAATGTGAAAGTGAGTGAAGATAACCTCATTTCTCATTCCATTTTCTTTGTTTTACTCTATGTAAAGGTTTCCACTGTGTCCTTGTATTCTGAAGGCCTAGGATTGTTTTTCCAATGCGTACAAATGAGAAGTGGAATGTTTATTATGTTTTAAAATTCATAAAATTAGTAATATTAAGAATAATTTTAATAAAATTAAATGGAACTTAGAAAGTTCTGTTTCTTTGCATTAAATGTAATCCCAGTATAAGACAACATGACATACTTACCGGTAAAAGTAGGGCAGACCATTCCCATTATCCCTCCAATTATCGTTGCAATAAGGTCTCCTTTCCTTCACTCACTCACAATATGTATTGATTACCAAATATATTCCAGACATCGTCCTAAACTCTTGAGAAATTAAAAACAAAACAAACAAACAAAAGTATCATTGGGGCACTTCTTACTCTGCCCCAGTCCCAGAAAGTTCTTGTAACTGCCAACTAACACTAATAACTAACGTGAATAGGAACTCTTTCACTCCTCACAAGTCTATAGGTAGGGTTATCATTATATATCCCGTATTTTTATGCCTATTTTTACGAGGGACGAGGATACTATAGTTCAGAGAGGTCAACAGGCTTGCCAGAGGTGCACAGCTAAGCAAGAGGCAAGTGCATCTCAAACCACGCCCCTTTGCCCCACACTCCACCCCCAGGGCAGGGCGGTGACCACGAGGTGAGCGGGTCACCACAGCGGCGCGCTCCCCAGGGGACGCCCCTCACCCTCGCCCTCCACGGCCGCCCTCGGGTAGCCCCCCACACTCCGACCAACCACCTGACTCTGTCCCGGGGGCGGATTTCCCCTGCGAGGCTGCGCGGCCGGGGCGGGGCGGGGCGGGGCGGGGCGGTCCTCCGGGGAGGCCGGGCGCCGGGGCGGGGCCGCCGGGCGCCGAGGCGGGGTCGCCGCGCGCAGGAGGAAGGAAGTACCCGCCCGCGCGCTTCCGGGGCCGTGGTAGCTTTGCCTGCGCCCAGCTGCACCATGGGACCGCTGCCGCGGACTCTCGAACTCTTCTACGATGTGCTGTCCCCCTATTCCTGGCTGGCCTTCGAGGTGACGCCGGGGGAGCCGCTTCGGCCGGGGCTTGGAGGACGAGGGCAGAGGGAAGGACGAGCGAAGGGCGTAGAGACCGCAATCTCGTGAATGTCCTGGCGCTGCCCGACGCGGTTTAGGACAAGCAGATAGAGAGCCAGGCTGAAGGTCACTTTGTTGGTAAACCGGATACGATCGCTGGCTCCAGGTCGAACCCTTATAGCCTAAGGCAGGGGCTTCCCCCAGTGGTTAAGAAGATGATCAACTTCAGAGAATCAGGATATAAGCCCTCTTCGTAGCCCTTCGATTTCCGTTTGGTGGGGGTGTGTGTGGAGTGAAGAACAGATTAAAAACTGTCCACAGGAGCAAAGGTCCTGGGGTCGATTTCTAGCAGTGGAGAGGGTTTTGCCCTTTCAAACCAAACAATTTAGGACGTCCTCATAACCCCTTGTCTGCGCCTATAGCTTCTGGCTGATGACTGCCGTGAAGCACCCTTCCCCTCCCTCAGCCATTTTCACTCTCTATCTTCGCCCCCGCCCTGCAGGTCCTGTGCCGGTATAAGAACATCTGGAACGTCAGCCTGCAGCTGCGCCCGACCTTAATTGCAGGGATCATGAAAGACAGCGGTATGAAGGCCGCAGCGTTTTCGGCAGGGATTTGAGGGAAGACTGATGCAAAGGCCCAGGGGAGTGGCCCTCCACTGGATCTTCATATTGGCGGCAGCAGCTAGTAACATGCCCTCTACCTGAAGCCCCGGTAGGGGTCCCCCAGTCCTGGGACCCTTAGGTCGTCCCTCACCAGTGAGCTCAACTTTCTGCTTGCAGGAAACCAGCCGCCAGCTTTGCTTCCCCGCAAAGCCCTATACTTGAAAAATGACGTTAGGCGCCTGGGACGGTATCTCCAGGTTCCCATCCACTTACCCAAGGATTTCTTCTTTGTGATCTTTGAAAAAGGTGAAGAGAGTGGGATGTAGATGGGGCCTCAAGTAGAGAGGAGTGGATTTGGAGATTGCAGGGCCAGAAAGGAGGGGTTCGGGTGATTCCATGAAGTGAAACAAGCCTTGGGAAAACTCAGGATCAGAGTTAAGGGAGCAGAAGGTTTGAGGACGTCAGGGGAGGGAGAGCAGGACAAACGGGTTATCAGAAACGTGGGTGGGAGCCTGAGGGCGTTGGAGCACTGGGGGGTGTCAGAAGCAGGAAAGAGCTGGTCTTCCATGGGGAAACAAGCTAGAGGAGCCCTACCTCTGAGTGCCTCTGTCCCACAGGAAGTTTGACAGCCATGCGCTTCCTCACCATCGTGAAACTGGAGCACCCGGAGTTGCTGGAGAAAGTGTCCAGGGAACTGTGGATGCGCGTCTGGTCACGGGTGAGGGCGGGGCTCTGGGAACCCACTTGCAGGGAGACCCTGGATGATTCGATGACCCTGTCCTAGGCTCAGTCCAGGTCCTGCCTTCCCCATCGTTCACTGACCTAGTGTCCTCCATCACGCCCCTCACCTTGTACTGAGTGTCCTTTTTTTTCCAGGACGAAGACATCACGGAGCCCCAGAGCATCCTGGCCGTGAGTGTCCCCACTCCTCCCGTGGGGAGTCTGAGGACAGTTGACATCCGGGGGCAAAGAGGACATCGTTTTCTTATTGGGTAGAAGAGGTCATAGTTAGGGGAGAAAGGATCTTTGATAGGCGAAATTACTAAAGGGTTGGAAGTAAGAGGACTCGCGAAAGACTATCCCATGGTTGAAAGAGGAAGTGCACCATTCTACATGGGCAGCACGTATTTGATGCAAGAAGCCAGTGGGAGAGAGGTGTTGAATGTTGGCACCTGCAGATGTGAAGTACTGGCAAGTCTTGGCCCCAAAGACTCCAACACAGACCTCACCATCACATCCAGGAGACTTTAAAAACAGGCTTTAAAAAGACAAAAAAAGGGCTTCCCTGGTGGCGCAGTGGTTGAGAGTCCGCCTGCCGATGCAGGGGACACGGGTTCGTGCCCCGGTCCGGGAAGATCCCACATGCTGTCGAGCGGCTGGGCCTGTGAGCCATGGCCGCTGGGCCTGCGTGTCCGGAGCCTGTGCTCCGCAACGGGAGAGGCCACGGGAGTGAGAGGCCCACGTACCGCAAAAAAAAAAAAAAAAAAAAAAGACAAAAAGAGATAACTGACTCAAGCCAAAATTACGCAGAAGCCCGAGTGAGAAAAATGGAAATAGCTCAAAACGTTAAAATGTGTGCCAGCCATAGATAGGGCTATGAAAAGTAAGTGTTTCTGCAGGATTGAATCGGAAAATTCAACACCATATTTTTTTTTCCCTTAAGTTTACAAAAGACAGTTGAGGCATATTCAAATGTAATAGATAAAACGACAAGTCACAAAAAAGTTAAACATACAAAGCATGCCAATGTATCCTTCATGTTTTTATTGTTGCAAAGTCTATGCCCAGGCTTGCTTTTTCACTTAATATTTAACAGTCCTTTTCCATGCCATTTAAAACTCTTGGAGAGTATAATTGTTAGTTTCCACATAGCATTCCATTCAGTGGATTTGTTTAGTTAACCACTGCCCTATTATTGAACCCTTGGTCAGAACACAATTCCCTCATGTGGTCAAAGACAACGTCATGGATGACTTTGCATTTCCCAGTCCAGGTCGTGGAGGTCAGGTCCCAGTGGTTGTCAACCCTGGCTGTATATTAAAATCACCTGCGCACCACCGCCCAGAAATTCCGACGTACTTGTACTCAGGGATGACATGCAAACTGGGATTTTCAAAAGCTCCCCCAGGAGATTCTCGTATGTGCAGCTAAAGTGAAGAGCCACCGATCCCAGCAAACCCCAAACTGAAGCCTTCAACGTTCTCTTGAAGCCAGACACTCATAGCTGTAGCCGTGTGCCTTGTCCAGAGTCCGCAGGAAATTCTATAGGAATTAGAGCCCAGCCCTTGATTCAGGAGTTCTAAGAAGTAGGAAGGCACGAGCCCCAGACTTACTGTCAGGGGACTCAGATTCTCGCATTGGCTCTGCTACTAACAAGCTCTTCAACACTGACCAAGATATGTACGTTTCTGGACTTCAGGCTTATCTGTTGACAAAGTGGTTGGGAAGCTGGTCTCTAAGATGCCCTCTGGCATTAAATTTCTGCAACTGTGCCTCTGCCACCCACTCTTTCCACCCATCTCATGATTTTGAAGGGAAAAACAGCCCCCGTTGGCAAGGATAGACCTCCACTCATGGGTGGGTAAAGGCATTGCCAGGATAACGTGGGGACACAAAATTTAAAAAAACGGTTTTTTCCTGAGATTCCCCTCCCCCACTAATGCAGACACAGTTGTGTTCCCTACCCCATCCCTTCAGGCTGCAGAGAAGGCTGGCATGTCCACGGGACGAGCCCGGGAACTTCTGGAAAGGGTCTCAACACCACAGGTGAAGAACCAGCTCAAGGAGACCACTGATGCAGCCTGCAAATACGGGGTGAGCAACTCTGTGTGTCCCCAGCCTCAGTGCTGAGACAGGGTCCCCATGCTCCTGTCCAAAAGCTGCTCACCAACCGTGAGCCCTCCTGGCTCTCCCAGGCCACCCTCACTCTCTCCCTTCCTTTCCCTGGACCCCAGGAAAGGAAGGGAGGGAGCTAGATGGTGAGAGAGGAGACAGAACTCTCCCTAGAGACCCGGAGCCTCTTATCGGACGCCTCTGGCTGCTTTGTGTCTGTGACCTCAGACCAGTATTGAAGTGCAGCCTTCAACGGCAGCCCAATAACCACCTGCTCCATCACCCTCCTTCCTGCACGCCGACTGCTTTCTCCAGGCCTTTGGGCTGCCTGTCACTGTGGCCCACCTGGATGATGAAACCTACATGCTGTTTGGCTCTGACCGGATGGAGCTGCTGGCACACCTTCTGGGTAAGTTACAGGTTCATGCTGAGCTGCCCTGGACCCCACCGCTGCGTGATATCAGTTGCCCAGAAGGATGGATTCAGAGCACAAAAAAGAATGTTCTAGGCCCTTCCAGTAATGGAGCCTCATACAGACACAGGTGTGCCTGAGGTGGAATGGGGAGGGGGCCACCTTCTCCCACAGGAGAGAAGGAAGCCTCTGTACCTTGAAGCCAGGCGGAGCTCGTCCTAGAGAACCCCCCGGGGCCTGTGCGGCCAGCCTCTGGCATGATTTTCTCCATCCAGGAGAGAAGTGGATGGGCCCTGTGCCTCCAGCTGCAACTGCCAGACTTTAAGGAAGCCCAGAAGCAGCAGAATTACTGGTATAAGAAAGCAGACTATCTCCTTACCCCTCCTCCACCGTGGGGCCCTGGGACTCTGGTTTCCTGTCTCACACAGGTTCCTCTCTGGCCCTGGGGGATGCCGGCGAGGGGCTCTGCAGTGCACCGTCTACCATTATCTCACGGCTGCCGTTACTTCTGTGCCTCACGAGTGCCTTTCGAGAGCCCCAAACTCTGCTTCCCACAAAATAAACCTAATGCCATCAGGCACCATATTTCTGGGTCTGTGTCTTCCCTGGTGTTTGTGTGTTCTTGTTCCTGCGATCACACCTGGCCATGAGAAGAGCAGCTCACTGTGTGCTCCCAGCCCCCTGCCCACCTTGGGGCAGCTTATGTGGAGGGAGCAGGAAACAGTCCCTCTTTCTCTTCTCCAGAAGCTTCCTGAGTCTGTCAGAGACAGAAAACTAAGCCGGATGGATTTTGCCCCTAACCAGTTGGGCACTGTCTTCTGACCAGCCGTGGTGCCTGAGACAGGGCTGGGGCCAGAAGCCCCTGGGGAATGAAGGCTGGAGGGAGCCAGAGCATGACTGAGCTTGCATCCAGATATGTAAACGGGGTCCAGCTACTCTAACCAGGACAAGGCCAGGCAAGGAGACTGGCCGGAGCTGCCACGGCCTGAAGACGTTGCTCGTCCCCTTATGGTTCCTTCCCCTCACCGACAAAGCAGATCCCAAGGAAAACTCAGGCCTTTCTCCCGGCCTATTATGACCCCTGTTCCCTCCCACACAAACCAATAGCTTTCCCACTCCCCCAGTTATTAATCCAAAGTCCCTGCTCTTTCTGTGCCCCCTGTATGATCATCAGAATGCGTTGTGTTTCAATAGGGTCTGGACTTCTTTGTCATCCCAGACTAATGTGGTATAATCTCTTATTGTAGAGGCAGATTTCCCAGTCCTGGCCACTCTTCCTTTAAAGGCTCTAGCATCCTATTTTTCTTTTTCTTTTTTTTAAGAGTAGTACTCTTTTTTTTTTTTTTTTTTTACAGTTATTCATTCATTCATTCATTTATTTATTTATTGGCTGCGTTGGGTCTTCGCTGCTGCACGCAGCCTTTCTCTAGTTGCGGCGTACAGGGGCTGCTCTTCGTTGCAGTGTGCGTGCTTCTCTTGTTGAACACGGGCTCTAGGTGCGTGGGCTTCAGTAGTTGTGGCATGTGGGCTCAGTAGTTGTGGCTCATGGGCTTTAGAGCACAGGCTCAGCAGTTGTGGCGCACGGGCTCAGCTGCTCTGTGGCATGTGGGATCTTCCCGGACCAGGGCTCAAACCCATGTTCCCTGCATTGGCAGGCGGATTCTTAACCACTGTGCCACCAGGGAAGTCCTAGCATCCTATTTTTCTAATCCAATAGAAGAATTTAATCTTCACTGAAGGAATGAGACAATTTGTCGACTAATCCTTAACACGTGTGATCTAGATTTTAATGTCTGAACTTATGCCAAATAGAATAAAAAATGATTATATTAGGGTTTTCCCAAAAAGAATCAATAGGATGTTTATAAATATTTAGAAAGATTTATTGTGAGGTATTGGCTTACATGACTACGGAAGCTGAGGAGTCCCATCATTTGCCATCTGCAAGTTGGAGGCCCAGGAAAGCTGGGGTCAGTTCCAGTCCAAGTTCAAAGGCCTGAGAACCAGGAGAGCCAATGTCCGAGGGAAGGAGAAGATGGCTGTCTCTGTTCAAACAGAGCAAATTCTCCCTTCTGCCTTTTTGTGCTATTCGGGCCCTCAATGGATTGGATGATGAAAACCCGCATTGGTGAGAACCACCTCTTCTACGGATTCCAATGCTAATCTCTTCTGGAAACACCCTCGCAGGCACACCCAGAAATTATGTTTTATCAGCAATTTGGGCATCCGTTAGCACAGTCAACTTGCCACATAAAACTAACCATCACAGCGAGAAAAGGAAAAGCCTCCAAATGCAGCCCTATTTTATTTCAGTTAAGGAACACTCTTTTCTATAATTTAAACCGTTTCATGCTTAGTTGCTTCCTCTCCTCTCCTTCTGATCAACAGTTGTAATATAAAATTTGCAATTATGTCAATGCTCAGAATTCAATACTGAACCACTTCCTTGTGTTGTAATTCAAATTCCAAGCTTACCAAATAATGTTATACTTCTAAAACACAACTTTTTTAGGTAAAATTCTTTAAAATTTTATATATATATATGTATATATATATTTTTTTTTTGGCTGCGTGTGTCTTTGTTGCAGTGCGCCAGCTTCACGGCCTTCTCTCTAATTGTGGTGTGCGGGCTTCTCTCTAGCTATGGCGTGCGGCCTCCAGGGCGCCGTGGGCTCTGTAGTTTGCGGCACGTGGGCTCTCTTGCTGAGGCATGTGAGCTCAGTAGTTGTGGCACATGGTCTTAGTTTTCCCACGGCAGGTAGGGTCTTAGTTCCCTGACCAGGGATCAAACCCACGTCCCCTGAATTGGAAGGTGGATTCTTTACCACTGGACCACCAGGGAAGTCCCAAAAGTGATATTTTTTTACAGAACCAAAATACAAGTGGTAATTAAAGACAATAAAGTATTGCATGCATGTGGTAAAACAAAAACAAAAAACAGAGCAAGGTGTGAAATGAAAAGTGAAGAGTTCTCCCTTTCCCACTCTTCACTTTTTTGTGTATGCTTTGAGAAATGCCCTTTTTTTTTTAAACACAAATGTCAGGCATAATACAGAGATTCCATATACCCTTCATCCAGTTTCCCCAATGGTGACATCTTGCCTGTCTGGTACAATAACACAACCAGAAAATTGGCATTGATACAATCCATCAACCTCATTCAGATTTCGTCAGTTTGATATGCACACATTTATGTGTCTGTGTTTAATTCCGTGTAATTTTATAACCTGTAGACTCATGTCACCACAACCACAGTCTAGACACAGAATGCTTCCAGCTTAGGGATCCCTCATACTGCCCTTTTTGTAGCAATAGCCACCTCCCTCCCTCCCTCCCCACTTCCTAACCCTTGGCAACCATGATCTGTTCACATAGTTGTCATTTTACGAGGGCTGTATGAACGGAATCAGATTGGCTTGTTTTCACTCAGCATAACCCCCTGAGGTCCACCCAAGGTACTATGTGTCTCTGTAGTTTGTAGCTTTTTTCTTTTTGTTGCTGAGTCCTGTTCCTTGGTATGGATGTGCCAGTTTGTTTAACCTGTTGAAGGACATTTAAGTTGTTTCCACTTTGGGGCTGAAAAATTTCAAATTCCAACGTGTGTGTGTGTGTGTGTTTGTGTGTGTGTAGGCTTCCCCACACCAGCAAGCAATTTTCGGATGCCAGCAGGGTTTTCAAGAATTCAACTCAATTCCAACACTATCTACCTGGAGATAGCATTACATTCCACGTGTAAGACCACCCTCCACTTCCAGGTGCAAGTCCAGGTCGTCACCTGTGCTTCTGACAGACTGGTTATAAACCAGAGGTTCCCATGACCCCCTTCTCGGGTTTAATTAATTTGCTAGAATGGCTCACAGAACTCAATAAAACCCATTTACTCACTAGATTACTGATTTATTATAAAAGTATATTAAAGGATATGATTCAAAACCCAGATGAATAGATAAATAGGGCGAGGTCCTGAACAAAGGAGCTTCTGTCCTCATGGAGATGAAGAGATACATAGGGTGAGGTCCTGAACAAAGGAGCTTTTGTCCTCTGGAGCTTGGGGACCAGCATGGTGGCACATGGAAGCATCCTGGTTTCCCATTGTGGAAGCTCTCCGAAAATGGGGTTTTTATGGAGACTTCATTACATAGTCATGATTGACTAAATCTCTGGCCAATGGCAATGGATTTAACCTCAAGCTCCTCTCTCCTCCCCAGAAATCAGGGAGTGGAACTGAAAATTCCAACCCTCTAATCACTTGGTTGGTTCTCCTGGCAACCAGGCCCCCGATCTTCAGGTGCTTCTAAAAGTCACTTCATTCACAAAAGACACCCTTATCACTGTCAACGCTTAGGAAATTACAAGGCTTTTGGAAGCTGTGAGCCAGGAACTGTGGACTAAAACCACATATATATGAGAAATATATTTTGGTCATCTGAATATCCAAATACGTGTATATAAATGTATATATATATATATATATATCTTATCAATCACAATATCACAGGGGCTATCCCAGGTAAAGCTGCTATGAACATGCATGTACAGGTTTGTGTGTGCACATGAATTTTCATTTCTCTGGGGTAAATGCCCAGGAGTAGTTGCTGAGTCATGTGGTAAGCGAATGCTTAGTGTTGTAAAGAAACTGCTCTACTTTTCCGGAGTAGCCATACCATTTTCCCTTCACACCGGCAATTCATGAGTGATACAATTTTTCCACATCCTCACCAGCATTTGGTATTATTACAATTTCTTATTTTACCTTTTCTGATTGGTGTGTAGTGGTATCTCATTGTGATTTGAATTTCCATTTCCCTAACAATATTGAACATCTTTTTGCCTATGGGGTTGAGTGGGAAGGGGAATGATGGAACTTTCTGGGTGATAGTAATGTTTCCTATCTTGATTGGAGTTTGGGTTACACCAATGTAAATTTTATCAAAACTCATGGAATGGTCCAGTTAAAATCTGTGCAATTCACTGCATGCAAATTTTACTTTAAAAAAAAAAAGTTAACTGTAAACTAGTATTTAATTCTTGTTACTTTTATGCACGCTGAAGTAGCTAGGTGGAAGTGTACTGATGTCTGCAGCCTACTTTGAAATGTATCAAAAAATAAGATATATTGATGGATAAAGTGATGGATAGATATGTAATAAAGTATAATGAAATTAGAAGCCCCTCTAATCCTTTTTAACTGTTGAAATGTATACTATGAGTATAGATTATTTTTTTAACTAAAATAATTATCTTTAGTAATCTATATCTTTAAGTTTTATGTTTAAAAAAATTTCTTAATATGGGCTTCCCTGGTGGCGCAGTGGTTGAGAGTCCGCCTGCCGATGCAGGGGACACGGGTTCGTACCCCGGTCCAGGAAGATCCCACATGCCGCGGAGCGGCTGGGCCCGTGAGCCATGGCCGCTGAGCCTGCGCATCCGGAGCCTGTGCTCCGCAACGGGAGAGGCCACAACAGTGAGAGGCCCCCGTACCGCAAAACAAAACTAAACTAAGCTAAACTAAATCATTAACTCTTTCATACAGCGTGTCAGGCTGTCATCTTTCTATCCACCTCAGAAAATCCTGGAGACCAAGATCAAAAGTGTTACATTTCCTGCATAGATAACTAGAGATTAGCAGAGGACGATGTACAATGTAAGTTACAAACAAGTGCTC